TATGATGAGGGCAACAAATGTGCATATGTGCTTGACACAATGGATGTATGTATGGATTGTGATGAGAATTGTATGAGCCCCCAATAAAAGAATTTTTAAAAATTAGAAAATGTAAATCAATTTTAAAAGGGAATTGCCTTATTATTTTCTAAGTACATGTTACTCGTAATGGCAGGTGTTAATGCTGGCACCAGAAATTTGAAAGGTAGATGGATAAACACACAAATCGGCAGTCAATCAACCAACTTGGGTATGTTTAGTTATAGGACTTTTTTTTTAATCATATTACTGGTGGCTCGTACAATTCTTATCACTATCCATACATACATCCATTGTGTCAAGCACATTTTTACATTTGTTGCCATCATCATTCTCAAAACATTTGCTTCCTACTTGAGCCTAGAGGACGTGGTTTTAAGAATCACTTCCCTGTGAATGCGCACAGGGAAGAAAGAGGTCAGTGTGGCTGGACCACAGAGCCGACGGTGGAGGTCCGAGAGAGCTGCCAGCTGCCGGGCCCAGATGCTGCAGAGCCTGGGCAGCCTGGTACCAGTGAGAAGTCCTGGAGGAAGAGTAGACTAATGGTCTGCAGCTCAGAGAAGAATGAAAAGTGAGACAAGAATACAATATCCTTTGGACAGGATAAGATCATGGTTCCCCATAGGTGTCTTCCACAGAAAACAACATCTTAGCTGGATTCAAAGTTGATTCTGGTGGGAAAACCCGCAGGACTCCCTAGCGACAAGTGACTACAACAGACCAAAAGTAGACTCAGAGATGAAATTTCAGGTTCCAGCAAGTCTGCGTGACTCTCTAATCCCTTATTGATTTCTTTCGCTCTGCCATCCCAAGCCTCGGCTCCCACCACAGCACAATCGGCATGCCATTCACCAGCCTCAGTTTCAGCCCTGCTTCTTCTTTCACAAGTCACAAACTCCAGGCACCTTTCCCAAGGCCTCCACGCAGTGGTAAAGCCATGCCACCCTGTTGTGGGCTCCCTCCTGTACTGGATGCTGCCTTGCTCCCAGAGCCACCACTGCTGAGCTCTGGAATTATAATGCAGCTGGTGTGCAGGCAGGCAAGTTACTGAAGGAAGCCGCAGTTCCCATACCTGTGAAGTAGAGATAAGAGAAGCGTCTGCTTAAATGGTGTTGTGCATGAGCTGATCTTTGAAAAATGTTTACAGAAGCAGAACAAATGCTAGATGGATGTCAGCCCTATTGCTCCGGTTGCTCTTACTTTCCATTACTCAGCTTCCTCCAAACATGGAGGATAATAGTTGCAGAAGATCAGAAACCAAACTGAAATAGGAAACACCTAGGAAAGTCAGGCCTGAAAAATCAACAATGTGGTGACACCGTCAAATGGGATAGTGTGCTTTATTAACTAACACAGAGACATCTGCATATGCCCGAGACAGCGGTATTCAGCTCTTAAAGTCAGCCACCATGCCCGCCGCTTAATCTGGGGCTTGATTCTCTGGGCTCCAAAGATACCATTGACCACAGTAGATGAACTCGGGGGATTCTCTTTTTCCTTAAAGGTACCGCTTGGGCAGGTGCATGGACAGAGGCAGAGCCAAAAAGAAACTCAGTAGACAAGTTGGAGAGGCGGAGGACATGATGCTCTTAATCTTTGTTCACTGCCCC